CACCACCACCCAAGTACTGTCCTTATTACAATGTGTAAGTTTTATGGGATTTGGTGAAATTGGGGTCAGCTGTGGCACAGTGCTTTCGATCTGTGACCTGTCATTTCTTCTGTGTTTCTGCATTTACAAAATTTCTTTTTGCATATAATCCTTCCGAGAAATTATTTTTCTCTGGCTGAGAGAAGACTTAAAGAAGAGTATACCTGGAGAGTTTTCCGGGGGTAAACGCCCCCGCGGCCCTGTCCTTGAGCAGGCCTCCCGGTGGCTCAGGGCCTGATCAACCAGGATGTTAATGCTGGCCGCACATAGTCCAGCGTACGAACCACAGCCCGGCTGATCGGGTACTGATTTTGGTATCTGTCCAGCTCCCTCTTGAAGGCAGCCAGGGGTCTTGAAGGCGGCCAGGGACCTTGAAGGCTGCCAGAGGTCTTGAAGGTAGCCAGGGGTCTTGAAGGCGGCCAGGGACCTTGAAGGCGGCCAGAGGTCTTGAAGGTAGCCATGGGTCTTGAAGGCGGAAAGGGACCTTGAAGGCGGCCAGAGGTCTTGAAGGTAGCCAGGGGTCTTGAAGGCGGCCAGGGACCTTGAAGGTGGCCAGGGGTCTTGAAGGCAACCAGGGGTCTTGAAGGCAGCCAGGGGTCTTGAAGGCAACCAGGGGTCTTGAAGGCAGCCAGGGGTACAGAAAGAACGAGACTGTTGAAAACAGACGGGAATCTTCATTGTCCATTGGGAAGGTGATAGGGTCGGCAAGACAAGACTGAGGTCTGTTCCCTACTCATGTTGGTACGGAGACCCTAGTGTAAAGGCATTTCCCGAAGAACTGTGTTCAGGCGATCCAGAGTAAGAGTCGTAGGCTGTGGTTCGATCTCCGGTACGGGTAGAAACAGGGCGTGTTTCCATTAAGACATCTGCTGTCCGTGTTCAAGTAGCAGTAAGTAGGTGCCTGAGTGTTAGCCGACTGGTGTGGGTCGCATCCTGGGGGGGGCAAAATTAACTAAAGTTACCTGAAATGCTCTGCATAACAAGGGGCTTTTAATATAGTAAGTCACTGATGTCAGCTAGATCTGTATAAGTTGTATCATGTACTTGCAGATATAAAGATTATTATTATTATTATTATCATTATCATTACATGACTGTCAACCTCGTCACACCTATGAAGGTTAACCAGATATTTTACCCAAGTTTAACATGCTTCCCTTCCTCTTTCGTATCTTGCCTCCTCCCCCTCCCTAAGTTCCCTCTACTCTTCCCTTCCTCCCTCCCTTCCACACTGTCTTAGCCATATGTCCAGTTATTGCATGGTATCAAAGACATATATTTTGTCTCCCCTGTCGTGCTGCCTGTCTGGTCATACAACAATACAAACAGAGGACTCCAGCGGAGTGATCCTACAATACAGCGTCAGTGATTCTGTCACATCCAGGTGTAGAGACTCGTTTTCACAGTGGTGTGAGAATGTTTTTTTGGTGTCATTGTTTATATTATTTTCACGGTGGAGAATACACACACACACATACACACACACGCACACACACACACACACACACACGCGCACACACACACAGAAACACACACACACAGTGTGCTCCATTTGGTCAGCTCACACACACACAATGACCCAGCATACTTCACAGTTTGTTTCCACCAGACAATGGCCGGTTGGTGGTGGTGGTGGTGCAGCGTTAAAACTCCCCAGAGTTGTTGTCAGTGGTGTTATAGTGGATGAATGACAGCAGCTTCTGTTTCTTGCTGAAGCTGCCTGATTCTTACATGACGGTAGATGTGCCCCTCCCGTGACGCTGGGTCAGTCTCACAAAAGCAAGATTCTGTGAACTGTACGTCTATTACTCTCTTTCTTGTGTGTGTGTGTGTATATATATATATAATATATATATATATATATATATATATATATATATATATATATATATATATATTGTGACCACGAACGAGTGGTATTGATCAATAACAACACTGCACTAGCCAAGGGCTCGAACCCATGCTGCTTTGGCCTGCCTCATGGTGGCGAAAACATATGACGCCCTAATCCACTGGGCCATATGATCGTATGGTCCAGTGGATTAGGGCGTCATATGTTTTCGCCCACCATGAGGCAGGCCAAAGCAGCATGGGTTCGAGCCCTTGGCTAGTGCAGTGTTGTTATTGATATATATATTATATATATATATATATATATATATATATATATATATATATATAATATATATATGTACTCGTATCCTGTCTTAATAATAATAACATTCCATCCCTTAACATCTACTGCTTCCCTCATTTATCCTTCCCCGTATCCCTTTACTTTTTCACTCTTCAACTGCTGCCTCCTCCTCTTCCCTCATTTGTCCAATGCTTCTCCCCTCCTTCTCCCCCTCCTTTCCTTTCTAAAACCATCCACACCACTCATCTCAGCATTAAATGGCCACCCTCGTCACACCTACATAATTATTATCACCAATAAGACAAACTGAGGTGTGACTCACGATGCGTTTGACAAATTCGTGTGATGTAAGACTTGCCATTTTTCTTCCCCGCCGCCTCTAACATATGCACCAGCGGCGCGCATGACAAATTCTACAAAATACGCTCGCTCCCTGTCAATGAGGATTTTCTTTCGTCTGTTTTTGGAAACCTTGGCACCGTTGTCAATGACTCTTTTGACACATTAGTGAAAACGAAGCTGTCCCTTCATGTCACTTTCTTTATCTTAAATTCTCGCGGTAAGTGTTCAAAAATTCGACTCATTTTTTCCCCTCGTCTTATGTTCGTAAATTCTGTGTCTTTCTTCACGTTACGGAACAAGAATTAATGGGGGAGGGGCCTACCGTATTTTCCGGCATATAAGGCGCACGATAGGAGTGTCATAACCGTAAATCAGTAATTATAATCAAGGGCTAATTACCCTCTTACTTTACGCTAAAGCGTAACCCAAAGCTTACCCTTGACCCTGACCCTGACCTTGACCCTGACCTTGACCCTGACCTTGACCCTGATCTTGACCCTGACCTTGACCCTGACCTTGACCCAGATCTTGACCCTGATCTTGACTCTGACCTTGACTCTGACCTTGACCCTGACCTTTGTGGGGGGGGGAAAAGGCGCGCCTTATATGCCGGAAAATACGGTAAGTTTCTCTCTTGGTATATTTAATTAAACTCTGCACAGAGCAACAAGTTGTTACAGCAGAAACTTTCTCAGTAACGAATGTCTAGTTTTTTTTTTAAATCTCCATAGTTTGGTTTGTTAATTGGGGGAGGAGGAAGGGTTTGAATCCTATCAACTACACGAAGGTCATTAAGACTTCACGTAACCTGTTCACCACCCTAAGATAGGGACCAAAGTATTCTGTCAGTGTATATACACTGTCAGTTTACTGTATCTCATTTTCCACAGATTATCTCCTATTCTCTCATCTTTCGTTTTCTCTTCCTTACAAAACAGTGCATAACAGCCACGGAAATTCTTGCAACGACAATTTTTTATTCTTTTTGCAATAAAACTAACATAGCAAGTAAATTTGACTAAGATTTGCGTAATATAGAATGACCTAACCTCCATAAGGTATAAAAAAAAAAGAATCCGATTTTTTCAATCCATCTCCTAGGTACGAGAGATTATTATTATTATAATCAAGGGGGAAGCGCTAAACCCGGAGGATTATACAGCGCCTGGGGGGGGGATGTGGAAGGCATTCAGGCTTAATTCGGGGAACTGGAGCACAGATCCAATTCTCTAAATCAAGAGCCCCTCACCAACATCAAGGAACCTTCCTTGAGGGGTAGGTACGAGAGAGAGACTTAAAGGAGAGAAATTAAAGAGAGAGAAATCAAAGACAGTGAAATCAAAGACAGTGAAATCAAAAAGAGAGAAATTAAAAAGAGAGAAATCAAAGAGAGAGAAATCAAAGAAAAGAGAGAGAAATCAAAGACAGTGAAATCAAAGACAGTGAAATCAAAAAGAGAGAAATCAAAGAGAGAGAAATCAAAGACAGTGAAATCAAAAAGAGAGAAATCAAAGAGAGAGAAATCAAAGACAGTGAAATCAAAGACAGTGAAATCAAAGACAGTGAAATCAAAGACAGTGAAATCAAAGACAGTGAAATCAAAAAGAGAGAAATTAAAAAGAGAGAAATCAAAGAAATTGGGAATATTTATTAAAGAAAACGAGAGCCTTCATATAAATACTACTGCTCAATAACCGTTTGAAAAAAATAATAGTAAATTCGTTTAATATTTTGGTTGAGTGATGTTAAGTCAGCTCAGCGGAAGATGTTATCACCTGTTAACCAGCCTGTTGAGGCCAATTGCATAGTTATGGGTCGTTCAGCACATATTGATGCACTAGGGGGAGAGATGCAGCTTGGGGAAGCCGGATGGTATGCTGGGAGATGCTGGGGAGAGGGAGATGTTGGGGAGAGGGAGATGCTGAGGAGAGGGAGATACTGGTGAGAGGGAGATGCTGGGGAGAGGGAGATGCTGAGGAGGAGATACTGGTGGGAGGGAGATGCTGGGGAGAGGGAGATGCTGGGGAGAGGGAGATGCTGGGGTGAGGGAATGCAGGGGAGAGGGGGGTGTTGGGGGGAGATTAGGGTGGAGGGGATGATGGGAGAAAGGGTGGGGGGACGAACGTAGAGGCAGGGAGATAGTAGAGATGAAGGAGACAATAGAGGTAAGGGAGATAGTAAAGATTATTATTTTTAAATTATTATTATTTATTATTATTATATATTATTTTTTTTATCAATGATAGTTACTACTACTACTAGTAGTAGTAATAATAATAAGTGTGAGAGAATAATTCCTTCGTAGTATGTTGTAAATATACGCGAATAACAGTGAGTGGTTGTAAAGCTTGTTTCTCTAGCAACCACCATTACTCTGGTGGAAGCTGGATGTCAGCGCCATCTTTGATCCAGGTTCCTCACCTCACTTGGGTGAGTCTTCTGGTGAGGTGAATGATCTTATTATTCCTTTGCTGTTACTCTTCCTGTCCTCCACCTGGTGGGACGGCTGTTAGTTAACAGTGTTAACAACAGTTCTCCTGACAGGTGAGTTACCTGTATTCTGGGAAAAGTTGGAGGCTTTGTTATTATTATTGGCTTTGTTTTGTATGTTGAGGTTGTTGTACGGCAATCACTCTTAGTTGAGTTAATTTTGACGCGTGTTTACTCATTTTGTGATTGATTTGTGTGTGTGTGGGGTGTGTGTGTTTTGTGTGTGTTGGTTGTGTGGTGTGTGTGTGTGTGGTGTGTGTGTGAACTCACCTAGTTGTACTCACCTAATTGTGGTTGCAGGGGTCGAGACTCGGCTCCTGGCCCCGCCTCTTCACTGATTGCTACTAGGTCCTCTCTCTCACTGCTTCCTGAGCTTTATCATACCTCTTCTTAAAACTATGTATGGTTCCTGCCTCCACTACTTCACTTGCTAAGCGACTCTATGACTGAAGAAATACTTCCTAACGTCCCTGTGACTCATCTGAGTCCCCTCTCTGGAACATCCTATCTCTGTCCACCTTGTCTATTCCCCGCAGTATCTTGAATATCGTTATCATGTCTCCCCTGACCCTTCTGTCCTCCAGTGTCGTCAGTCCGATTTCCCTCAAACTTTCCTCGTACGACATTCCCCTGAGCTCTGGGACTAGCCTTGTTGCAAACCTTTGTACTTTCTCTAACTTCTTGACGTGCTTGACCAGGTGTGGGTTCCAGACTGGTGCTGCATACTCCATTATGGGCCTAACATACACAGTGTACAGTGTCTTGAACGATTCCTTATTAAGGTATCGGGAAAGCTATTCTCAGGTTTGCCAGGCGCCCGTATGCTGCAGCAGTTATTTGGTTGATGTGTGCGTCCGGTGACGTGCTCGGTGTTATGGTCACCCCGAGGTCTTTCTCCCCTGAGTAAGGTCTGTATCTTTGTCCACCTAGCCTATACTCTGTTTGCGGTCTTCTTTGCCCCTCCCCAATCTTCATGACTTTGCATTTGGCAGGATTTTGAATTCGAGAAACCAGTTTCTGGACCACATGTCCAGCCTGTCCAGGTCTCTTTTCAGTCCTGCCTCATCCTCATCCGATTTAATTTTTCTCATCAACTTCACATCATCTGCGAATAGGACACTTCAGAGTCTATTCTTCCATCATGTCGTTCGATATATCAAAAAAGCACTGGCCCTAGAACTGACCCCTGTGGGACCCCGCTCGTCACAGGCGCCCACTGGATACCTCTCACGTACCCTGGACTCTTGGCTGCCTCCCGTCAGGTATTCCCTGATCCATTGCAGTGCCCTCCCTGTTACATGCGCCTGATCCTCCAGCTTCTGCACTAATCTCTTGTGGGGAACTGTGTCAAAGGCCTTCCTGCAGTCTAGGAAAACGCAAAACACCCACCCCTCTCGTGTCTTTCTTCTGTTACCTTGTCATAAAACTCCAGTTGGTTTGTGATACAAGATTTGCCTTCCATGAACCCAAAGCTGTTTTCATTTATAATCTTGCTCCTTTCCCGGGGTTCGACCACTCTCCTCCTGATAATCTTCTCTATGACTTTGCACACAATACATGTCAGAGACACAGGTCTGTAGTTTTAGCGCCTCGTTTCTGTTTCCTTTCTTAAATATGGGACTACATTAGCTGTCTTCCATTTCTCAGGTAGTTGCCCAGTTTCAAGGGATGTGTTGAAGATTGTGGTTAGAGCACGCACAGCATCTCTGCTCCTTCTCTAAGGACCCATCGGGAGATGTCCGGTCCCATCGCCTTTGGGGTATCAAGGTCACTTTGCAGCTTCTTACCTCCTCCTCTGTTGTTCGTATGTCATCCAACACTTGTTTTGGGATATTCCCTCTTGATGTTTCCTTTCTGTCTGACTTCCCCCAGCTCTTCCTGTCTCTACTGTAAAAACTTCCTTAAATCTCCTGTTTAGCTACTCACATAACTCCTGGTCATTTCTTGTGAGTTCTCCCCCTTCTGTCCTTAATCTGATCAAACCCGGTCTTTGACTGTTGTCCCTTTTCCCCCTGATGTGGCTATACAACAGTTTCGGGGGCAGTCTTGATTTTCGATGCCATGTCATTTTCATACTGTCGCTGGGCCTCCCTCCTTACCTGTGCGTACTCGTTCCTGGCTCTGCGACTGATCTCCCTATTTTCGTGTGTTCTCTGCCTTCTGTACTTTTTCCATTCTCTATTGCACTTTGTTTTTGCCTCCTTACACCGTCGGGTAAACCAGGGGCTCGTTCTGGTCTTCCCGTTGTTTCTGTTGCCCCTGGGAATAAACCTTTCCACTGCCTCCTTGCATTTTGTTGTTACATATTCCATCATTTCATTTACTGGCTTTCCTGCCAGTTCTGTCCCACTGGACCTCCCGCAGGAAGTTCTTCAACCCTATGTAGTCCCCTCTTTTATAGTCAGGCTTTTCCCATTCAACTCCTGTTATTCTCTCCACTTGCTGCTCTACTATGTATTCAAAGCACAGAACCACGTGGTCGCTAGCTTCTAGGGGACTCTCATACGTGATGTCCTCAATGTCTGAACTGCTCAGGGTGAACACAAGGTCCAATCTTGATGGTTCATCCTCCCCTCTCACTCTGGTAGTGCCCTTAACTTGTTGGTGCATGAGGTTTTCCAGCACCACGTCCATCATCTTGGCTCTCCATGTTTCGGGATCCCCATGTGGCTCCAGGTTTTCCCAGTCAATCTCCCTGTGGTTGAAATCCCCCATAACCAGCAACTTTGATCTGCTGGAGTGAGCTCTTCTTGCCACCTCAGCAAGTGTCCACCATTGCTTTGTTGCTCTCTTCATATTCTTCTCTTGGCCTCCTGCAGTTCTGTGGTGGATTATACATCACTGCAATGACCACTTTGTGTTCCCCAGACTGAAGTGTACCTAGTATGTAGTCTCTTTCTCCCATCTCATCTATCCCTTCCATTTTCTCAAATTTCCATCTGTTTTTTACTAGCAGAGCAACCCCACCTCCCCCTCTGCCCCTTCTATCTTTCCTCATGATCTGGTATCCTGGTGGGAAGATTGCATCTGTTATTGTCCCCGTGAGTTTTGTTTCTGTAACTGCTGTGATGTCTGGGGACTTCTCATTGATTTTTTCTTGCCATTCCTCATGTTTATTCGTTAATCCATCTGCATTTGTGTACCAAACCTTCAACTTCTGTTCTAATACTGTAACTGTGGTGCGGGGGGTGGGAACAGAGGGATCGGTGTGTGATGGTTGGTTTGGATTGTTCACTTGCCATGGGGGTGTCGTGGCTGGGGTCCTTCTGCAGGTGTTTCTGGGGGGTGTGCTTGTCCTTCCACTTGTTCCTGGGTTATTCTGCTCTCCTTTTTCATTTCCTCCCATTTCTCCTTTCGTTTCTGAACTTTTTCATCGTCTTCCTTTCCTCCTGTGTTCTGTCTCGATCGAGGTACACACTCATGAACTCCTGCTTGCCTCTCAGCCGTGCTTTCTCCTGCAGGATCATGGTTCGGGTTGATTCTGCCTTGAAAATTACTTTGAGAGGCCGATTCCTTTTCTTTGTGAACCACCCGATTCTCCGAAAATTTGCCACCTGGGTCATTTCCCCCTCGCCTATCACCTTCTTGATTGTGTGTGTGTGTGTGTGTGTTATTTTGTCCTAGGCGCATGTCACAGCTCCTTTGTTTTTGTGTATTGAGCATTTTTTTCGTGAATTTTTCATTAAGTTTTCATTCGAGTGAGAGACTGGCCTCACACCTGTGTTTGCTCCGTCATTCTTGCAACAATAAGAACAGGAAACATATTTACTGCCCCAGGACTCGCTAGTGACACTAAATACCTTCTTGCTTCTTGTGGAGAGGTATAGACGCATTACTCTCTGATACTTAAACGAGAAAATCTTATCCATTTGTCTCTCTCTCTCTCTCTCTCTCTCTCTCTCTCTCTCGTGCACCCTAGCACACTACCAAGATTTATAATGTTCATTAACCTCTAGGACAGCTGTTCCAGATAGGTAACTTCGTCAGTAATGTACACGCATCCTTAAGCGTCTCCACCACCTCTGATGTCTGCTGTGGTGGTGATAGTGACGGTGGTGTGTCGGAGGGTATGTAGTGACGGAGGTCAATGCTGTGGTGCTGTGATGGTTGTGCTGGGGTGGAAGTGCTGAAGAGTTTTGTCGTGGTGGTGATGAGTGGGCAGTGTGGTAGAGAGAGTAGCTGTTTGTGGTCGTACTGTGTTGCTGGTGTGGTGTTGCTGTGGTCGTATTGTTGTGGTTATTTTGTATTTTGCAATTATTGCATAGTTAATGCACAAAGTATGGAATACTTAAGGAACTTTAGTTTTCCTGACGCAGTTCTAAGAAGAGGTACGATAAAGCATGAAGCATGGGGAGAGTAGACCTAGTAGCGGGGCCTGGAGCTGCGAATTGACCCCTGCAACCACAAATAGGCGAGTACACACAAGGACTATGGAAGATATAACGTACAAAATACCGACAGGAATTGATAGGGTGAACAGGGACAGATTATTGGACAGACTGGTGACAGGAACACGAAGGAACAGCTGTAACTTGAAAACACAAAAGAATCACAGGGATGTTAGGAAGTATTTCTTCAGTCACTTGAGCATTCAGGCAGTGGGACGACCTGGTGAATGGAGTGGAAGTGGCAGGAATCATGCATAGCTTTAAGAAGAGGTATGATAAGCTCGAAGCCAGGAGAGAGTGAATCTAGCGACCATCGAAGAGGCCGGATCAGGAGCAGAGATTTGACCCTGCAACCTCGTATAGATGAGATGTATCAGTCCCTTTAACACACACGCCTACCTCAGCACCGCGCTGATACATGCACATATATATTTTGCAGAGAAAACTCTTGCCTTGCGTGTCCCCGTGAATCTGCTCCGTCACTGTATGCATTGTTAACTCTCTCTACTTCTCAGTTTCTGGCATACACCTGTTATTTTCCCTCGGTATAGATTTTTGTGCGTGTATACAGGTGTGTATTTTCGTACGCGAACCTGGGGAAGGCAAAGGAGACTTTGCTATATTTTGTTTTTCCTCAGATACGCATGGAAAGATGGAAGATTTGAGTGGTGGGGTAAAATTGGCAGCCAGACGGTTCCCTGTAAAATGGTGGGTTTTACTGCGGCAGAAAACCCCGAAGATTTGTCCAGAATGGGATTTTTACGTCCCGGGTAAATGGTTCTGGCAGACAGGCAGCTTGCACGCGTACACACACACACACACACACACACATACACACACACACACACACACACAATGGATTTAGGTAATGGAAGTCCGGCCTCGCCAAACGACAGAAATTCTGTGACGATATAACCTACAAGGGAACGGAGGCTGGTGCCATAATGTTGGTAAAGGGCTCTTAATCCATTGAATTTCTTTTCCCCTGATGCTGTATGAACCTTACGGCTGTATGGCTTCGGCGTAAATTTAAAAGAGGGGGAGAAAGAAACAAGTGGGATCCCTGAAGGATCTGTATTATGTCCGTCGATATTTTCATTATATGACAATGATGTGCATAAGAGATCGAATTCTGTTCGTGTTTGTTGATGACTGGGAAGGTAATGAGAAGACGCAGACTGCAAGAATACTCAAACAAATGATCATGGAGTCTGAACAAGTGGAAGATCATGCAAGTCTGTAAGGCAGGAATAAGACCGGATACGGTGAATAAGGTGGAAGAATAAGGTTGAATTAGGAAAGGGATGCAAGAAGGGTCTGGGAGCGCACATTACATTGAGCATATCGCCAAAAGTATACACAAATTGCTTAATATAGGTACTATATGGAAGATTAGATAATCTTTAGAAATGTTATTAGAAGTCCCGGCTAAGAATCCTATCAATGCACAAAGAAAACGGTTTATATAAAAATTTGATTTTTTCATGATTTTAGATGAAAGTGATGTTAGTGATAATGGTTGTGTGTGTGTGTTTGTTTGTGTTCCCTGGCAGAGTGCTGGCAGGCGAATCATTTGCATACTAGCAAGGCACTTGGCAACCCTCGCACATACGCATGGGGAGGGAGAGTCAGAGGGAAAGGTGAGAGTAGTGGATTATCACAGCTGTTTCAAACTCACTGTCTCTGTCTGTGTCTGTCTGTCTCTGTCTGTCTGTGTCTCTGTCTCTCTCTCTGTCTCTCTCTCTGTCTCTCTCTCTCTGTCTCTCTCTCTCTGTCTCTCTCTCTCTGTCTCTCTCTCTCTGTCTCTCTCTCTCTGTCTCTCTCTGTCTCTCTCTCTCTGTCTCTCTCTCTCTGTCTCTCTCTGTCTCTCAGCATTGAAAATTACCCTGGTAACTGTTCCTTTACTTCACAGATACCATCAAAAGGGGGGTTGGGATTCTACCGTCGCCAGTTCAGTAGTTTACGACTGGTGAAGATATGCAACCACCGCTAAATTTCACGGTGTCTGAGGCCGGCAGCTCGAGTCCGCAGAGCCTGTTGAAGAGTTCCTCTTAAGTTTCTTGGTGCCTAGAGGAAGGGAGATGTTGATCCTTCAAGGAGACAGGTTCCTTAATACAGGTAGAAGATTCTTGTTGCATGGAATTGATGCTGGTATTTTCCCTCTGTTGGGATTAAGACAGATATCCTCAAAGGCTGTATGACCCATACAGGCTTACTGCTCTCTCTATATATATATATATATATATATATATATATATATATATATATATATATATATATATATATATATATATATTGATAGCTCTAAGCCTTTCGTGTTGGAATTATTCAACCCTTGTAGTAGTTATTTTACATCATTTTTCGCTCGTTCGCCATTATGTATATATGTCGTGCCGAATAGGTAAAACTTGCCATTTTGGCAATCGAAATTTTGTGTATGCAAAAAAATATATTTCATTGTGTTTATTATTAAATTACTGTAAACTTGTCTAAAATATGTTTAGTGGGATTATGCTAAATTGCGCTCGTTATAATAAGGTCAGGTAAGTTTTCTAAGGTTCATTTGGTACAAAATTAATTTTTACATTAACATAATTAAAAACAACTATCTTTAAACGTATAAGAAATTTTTTTTAGAAAGGATTTAATTTTAAATGAGCTCTTGCCAACTGACCAATTTTACCTATTAGGCACGACATATATAATGGCGAACGAGCGAAAAAAGTTCCAAAATAACCACAAGGGTTGAATGATTGAAACACGAAAGGCTTAGAGCTATCAATACATCAGGATCTTGCAATAATGCAGAAATATAGGAAATTTGCTTGTATTTCCTGTTTATGCAACGTTGCAAGCTCTTGGTGTGTTGAATGATTAATCTAGGCCTCTCCAGCTATCAACTTCCCCTGTGGTTATTTTGTATGTGTATGTATATGTATATATATATATATATAAATATATATATATATTATATATAATTATATATAAATACACCGTAATCCTCTCCCTCGTCTGCTGGAACTGTCAGGATGCACGACTCTCAGAACTGACATTTCACCCCAAAGACAATCTTTTGTTAATTACGTGTGCTGACAGTGTTGACACAGTGTTCTCTGTCGTGTGAAGCACAAGTTTTGGGGAGGAATACAAACAAACGCGGCCAGGCGTGAGGGGGGGACACATTAATCGGATTATCTTTCGCTAATTGCTTCAATTAGGTCATCAGTATCGGTTGTAATTACTGTCTGCCACATTTCCGTTCCAAGAAGAATAACGTAAAGGCAGTGGAGGAATTGTGCGGTGGTGTTTTATGCTCGTGTCTTGTGTCTGTTACACTGCCTGGCTTTGTTCTGTTTCTTTCTCTTTCCATATCTGATATCTGTCTGTATTTTTGTCATTTATGTCTGTCTCTTTTTGTCTCTGTCTCCCTCCCCACATGTTTCTCTCACAGCAGGAAGCTGCCGATACTTCTCAGTATAACGAGGACAGTTATATAAGGAGTTTTTTTTAATTTTTTTCGACTAAGTGTGTGTGTGTGTGTGTGTGTGTGTGTGTGTGTATATATATATTATAATTTTTTTTTAAAAGCTTTCCATAATAATGTTATGAATAACTCATTATATAGCTCACTAGTGAGTTATTCGTGGTAAGTTGTGGTAATCTGCCACGTACTTTGTTATTATGACCCGCCAGGTTGCACGTGGTGACCAGGGCCTCCACTGTAACCCGGCAGGTCGCACCATGGTGACCAGGGCCTCCACTGTAACCCGGCAGGTCGCACCATGGTGACCAGGGCCTCCACTGTAACCCGGCAGGTCGCACCATGGTGACCAGGGCCTCCACTGTGACCCGGCAGGTAGCACCATGGTGACCAGGGCCTCCACTGTAACCCGGCAGGTCGCACCATGGTGACCAGGGCCTCCACTGTAACCCGGCAGGTCGCACCATGGTGACCAGTGCCTCTGCTGTGACCCGGCAGGTAGCACCATGGTGACCAGGGCCTCTGCTGTGACCCGGCAGGCCGCACCATGGTGACCAGGGCACTTCCTGCTCCAGACATAATCTCCAGGAATGGTGTTTATGGGAGATATGTAAATCCAATAGCCATTACGACTAATACCTCGGTACTTTGGATACATCAGGCGTCGCTTTTTTGCGTTTTTTTGTTGATCCCGTATAGTGTGTGTAGTGTGTGTGTGTGTAGTGTGTGTGTAGTGTGTGTGTGCAGTGCGTGTAGTGTTTGTATCTGTGTAATGTGTGTAGTGTTTGTGTATATGTAATGCAGTGTTTGTGTTTTGTTTTAGTGTTATCTCGTAGCTGTGCTGCTGTAGTTGTCGTACAGCAGTGCTGCTGTAGTTGTCGTACAGCAGTGCTGCTGTAGTTGTCGTACAGCAGTGCTGCTGTAGTTGTCGTACAGCAGTGCTGCTGTAGTTGTCGTACAGCAGTGCTGCTGTAGTTGTCGTACAGCAGTGCTGCTGTAGTTGTCGTACAGCAGTGCTGCTGTAGTTGTCGTACAGCAGTGCTGCTGTAGTTGTCGTACAGCAGTGCTGCTGTAGTTGTCGTACAGCAGTGCTGCTGTAGTTGTCGCACAGCAGTGCTGCTGTAGTTGTCGCACAGCAGTGCTGCTGTAGTTGTCGCACAGCAGTGCTGCTGTAGTTGTCGCACAGCAGTGGTGCTGTAGTTGTCGCACAGCAGTGCTGCTGTAGTTGTCGCACAGCAGTGCTGTACGACAACTACAGCTACTCTCTACACTCGCAGTGCCACCGTGCATATAAAACTTACATTTACGTCCACTACGCTACACAAAGATTAAAACTTTAAAGTTTACAGTACACACCAACATTAGTTACTAATAAGGGGAAAAGTTTCGCAATTGACAGTGTGTTTTGGTGGGAGGGGGGGGAGGGTGCGCGTGCACGCGCGCGTGTGTGCGGGGGGGAAGGGGTGGGGTTCGAGTCTCGGCTCCTGCCTCGTGGGTCTTGTATCTCTCCTTATAATCGTGTATGGTTATTTTATCCCACCTCGTTTCACTTCCAAACCATCATAAGGCTGAAGAAAGACTTCCTAACATCCCTTTCACTCGTTTGTTTCTCATGGGTTCCAGTTGTGCTCCCGTGATCCTTATCTCGCACAATCTGTCCCTGTTTGTCCTGTCATATTTAAGTATCTTGTATATCGTTGTCCTATTAGCTATCAGATTCAGTTCTGCGTAGGTCAGACCTATGCCAGTCATGTTGAAAATCTTTGGATATTCTTGAGTTTATTAGTTTGACAAGGTGTGCGCGTCAAACAGGTACTGCACGACTCGTGTGATACATGTCTCGTAATCTGACACATGATACATAGTATGTTTGGTTTTGGTATAAGTTCCTTCTGCACCTCTCAGCACCATCTCAAATGTTGTATTTCCTATATATTTCCTCTCAAACTGCACTGCATTTAACGCACTGATAAATCTGCTTAATATCCGCGAGACTTGGAGAAAAACTACACAGAAACAACGTGCTGCTTGCATGCAAGAAACTAAAACATATTCTTATATGCTATCTAGCTCTCTCTCTCTCTCTCTCTCTCTCTCTCTCTCTCTCTCTCTTCTCTCTCTCTCTCTCTCTCTCTGTCATATTCATTTAGAGGCATTACGAGAGTCAGCAGGATGGTCAGGGGTGCGCCAGCAGGTTCTGCTGCTAATGCCGGGCCGAGCGTGACAAGGTCAAGCTCTCAATTGAATACTTGCACCGCTACTGAGGCAATATGTTGGCAGCAGACTACGATATATTAGTGGGTAGTGGCTGGTGCTGGGTCCCTGTAATAAGTGTGTTCAGGGCCGTTGTTGGTGGAGTTATCACTGACTCGACGTCCTAGCAGTCACGGCACCAGGTTGGAAGGTTGACCAGGGAGAGGGTGGCAGCGGGAAATGTAGAAAGGGAAGAGGGGTATGAGAGAGTAAGAGGAAGAGGAGTAAGAAGAGGAGGGTGGAGAAAGAAAGTGGGAGTAGGAGGGAGAAGAAAAGCAGTCACGAAAGTAAGAGTGAGAAAGGGATGGAAGATGAGTGAGAGGAACAGAGCAGTAAATACCATCATCTTCCTCCGAAAGTAACACTTTCTTTGTGTCCTTCCCGTGTTCTCACTGTTCTATTTTCAGAGGTCGAGCTGCGGCTCCTGGTCTCTACTACTTGTAGCCTCTTGATCTTTCGTTCCCCCATCATACCTTTTCTTGAAGCTGCCGAGTCTGCAACCGTAGACCATCCAGGTGTTGTCCTGCCAACTAGCTCGTCTAGGCAGATTGAAGACCAACTAGACAGCGTGTCTGCCCTAGGGACTAACAGACGGAGGGTCGAGCTTACAACCTTCCCCTCCTCCCACTTCCTTGGGCTCAAAAGACCCATACGGGTTCAGTGCTCAGTTTTTATTATAAAAAGCGACGGTTTAGGATCTTTGGATACACCAAGGTAGTGACCCTCTTTTGTTTCTTTGTTTTGAAAGGTAAACAAAAAATGTTAGCCCAAGTAAACCACTCGGTTTACTTACGCTGACCACCAGGTAAACCACTCGGTTTACTTACGCTGACCACCAGGTAAACCACTAGGTTTACTTACGCTGACCACCAGGTAAACCACTCGGTTTACTTACCCTGACCACCAGGTAAACCACTAGGTTTACTTACGCTGACCACCAGTGTAAACCACTAGGTTTACTTACGCTGACCACCAGGTAAACCACTAGGTTTACTTACGCTGACCACCAGGTAAACCACTAGGTTTACTTACGCTGACCACCAGGTAAACCACTAGGTTTACTTACGCTGACCACCAGGTAAACCACTAGGTTTACTTACGCTGACCACCAGGTAAACCACTCGGTTTACTTACGCTGACCACCAGGTAAACCACTAGGTTTACTTACGCTGACCACCAGGTAAACCACTAGGTTTACTTACGCTGACCACCAAGTAAACCACTAGGTTTACTTACGCTGACCACCAAGTAAACCACTCGGTTTACTTACGCTGACCACCAGGTAAACCACTAGGTTTACTTACGCTGACCACCAGGTAAACCACTAGGTTTACTTACGCTGACCACCAGGTAAACCACTCGGTTTACTTACGCTGACCACCAG